ATGAAATTCTTCACTAAAAATAATATTTCTAAATCTAAATCAAATTAGCCTTAAAAATAACAATAAAATTATTACAAATTTTCAGTACATGGAGAGGTAATCAAACATTAAATTATTAATTCCATAAAATATAATCATTGATAATAATTAAAATATGATTGAAAATAAATTAATTGGAACTTAAATAATTTCATTAATTAAATAATATATCATATTTTAAATTTATTGATAAATTTTAATGGAGGTTTAGCTATTATATTATTCCTCTATATGTAGTAATAAATTTATTCCTAAAATAAATAAACAAACATTTATTGTTTAAGTCTGATTTTTATTTATTTTATATAATAATTCTTACAAAAAAATCATGAACTATATATTTGCGCTGACAAAGTTTATTTTTACTCCGAAAATTATAAATTCAGTAGAACTTGAGGGTAGGTATTTAACTGAATCTAAGTTGAAAATTAAAGTAAATATTTTATCTCTTAAATTTAGACTAAAGTAAATAAAAGTTTTTTTTGTGAATATAATTTAGTGGTGTATTTAAAAAAAGGTTTGTTGGATTTATTAATAATCTCAAATTTTTTAATAAAATGAAGCAATTATTTATGATTAATAAAATAAAAAAGGCTTTATCCATCAATAATAATAATTCTAATTTTAAAATTTAAGGGTTGAGAATTTATTCATTTTAGGCTATGAATTGATTAGAAACTATGATTGCTTTAATGGATTTTATATTTAATGAGGCAATCTCTCTTTTGTCTTTTGTGATAATATACTAAAATGATTAAATGACTTACTATTTTTTAATTCATTAATAAACCCATATATATTTAAAGAAAAATCTAATCAAACAGGTTTATTTCTATTCTAATAACTGTTATTTAATGAAATCCTAAAGTAAAATTATTATTTTCAAAATCAAGTTGTTTCATAAAATCTTATATCAGGCGATTTGTTATCATATCAGTGTTCTCTCAAGTGAGATGCTTGTCAAAAGAATAAATAAAATCAAATAAATTAAATATTTAGATTCTTTTTTTTTAATACATTATTCTCAACCAAAAATTAAAATTATACATCGGTTAATTATTAAATTAAATAAATATGTTATTTATGCCTAATTTATAAACTATTATTAATTGTATTGTAGACTCTTGGAATTAAGAGAATGCCTTCACATTCTTTATTTTTAAATAATTTAATTGAATTATTTTCATTAATTTAAAGTATTCCATCTTTATTATACATAAGTCCTAAAATAACATCAATCTTCTTATAGCTAGTCACTTAATTATTTTTTCATCTTAAAATTGTACTTTAAATCCATTGTAAAGTTTTTATTTATACATTATTCATTTTTTATTTTATTTTATTTTGCTTATTTAACAACTTAATTAATTATTAAATAAATATTAAATTAAACCAATAAATTACTTAAACTTGAATTAATCTTTAAACGATTAATTCCTAATTATTTATTCATCA